CTAGGGGACAGAGACGTGGCCAGGTCAGGTGTTCCTGGGACTCGGCAGGACACAAAGCCAAGTGGAGGAAATGGGCTAAGTGAGGCAGAAGGATTTTCAGACAGGGCTGCCAGGGCAAGAAATCAGACTGGTGGTTTCAAGCCACAGACGGAAGGGAAGAACTGTCTTCTGGCCCAGCAGTTGGAGCTTCAGGGAAATTACAGGAAGAGGAGATTCCCAGGGAAGGGGCAGGGTTGGGCGGCAGGACTGACCGAGTTAGAGAGGTGGGCCACAGCCTTGACGTGCAGCAGCTCCTCGAAGATGAGGTCCAGCTCCTCGTCTGTGCGCTGCCCTGGGCTGCAGGCACAGGAGTGTGGGGATGCGCACAATGAACCACGGGGGGCTGGGACCAGGCAGGGGAGCCACCCCACCCACCCAGCAGAGGCCTGGGCCAGACGCACTCAGCTATGATCGCTGTCACTAACAGGCAAAACTTCACTGGGTGTGCACCATGTGCCAGACACTGTGCAAAGCACTTCAAACGCATTACTTCAGTCCACCCTCAAAGCAGCCCTCTGACGTGGGCTTGTTATCCTCTCTTGACAGAAGAGGAAGCTGGCATGCAGAGGTCAAGGTCACCCAGCTGGTAGCTGTTCGAGCTGGAATCTGAACCGAGACCTGCCTCTAGATTCCAGAACCACCCTCTCTCAGCAACAACTGCATCTCAGAGCAGGCAGGCTCCTCAGAGACCCTCTAGCCCAACACCCTCATGTACAGAGAAAGAAACAGACTCAGCGGTGGGTGTGCGGGTGGGAGGGGGGAGTGGCTCAAGATCACATGGTGAGTCCAGGCAAAATGCAGGTCAGAGCTCAGGTCTTCTGGGACAGCCAGGCGCCCTTCCCTCAGCAACAAGAGAGGGACCCCTCAGAGATGAATCTGAGAAGCTGTGGAATGTGAATGCCGTGCAGGGCCTGGGCTGTGGGGTGCAGGGTTCCCGACTCACGGCTTTCGAAGTGCCACAGTGAGCAGGGCATCGGGCCCCCGCTGGGAGAGCAGAGCCATGGCCTCTGCCAACTCCTCCTCCACCTCATGAGCTCCTATGGGTTCTGGCTCTGGCCCAAGGAACCGGTAGAATTGGGCGTCTCGGTCCTGGAAGGTCCAGTCATGTTTCACTGGCGGCCAAGGCCCAAGCATGGGGGAGGAGAAGAAATTGGGGCCATGTGAGTATGAGGCCCTCACTGCAATGACACCCCACTCAGGAGCCTCCATTGGTGGCTGCTCCCCAGGACTGCCCCGTCCCGGCCCCGTCCTGGAGCCCCACCCTGGGCTCAGGCTCACCATGGCAGAGGACACCTTCATCCAGCAGCACTTGGCAGATTCCCACGGCCTGGCTCCGGGAATGGACCCCGAGCCCCAGGGCCAGGATCGCATCCACCAGCTCCCGGCCAGAGCAGCACTGCCTGTAGGAAGTGGAGGGGACAGGGAAGGAGAGGGACAGTGCAAGGAAGGAGAGTGGAGGGGCCAGGGAGGAACTCTCCATCAGAAAGGCACCTGCCTAGGCCCAGGCTCACTTCTTCTGCCAGAGGCAGGGCTAGGCCCAGATGCCTGGCACAGAATAGGAATGGAAGGGAAACGGTGGCGGGGTGGGGAGGCAGGCAGGGCCTCACTCACCGATAGAGCCTGAGATGGTACTTCCGGTCGCGGATGAGATTTGGGCAGGTGGCCAGGAGATGTTGATGTAGCAGCTTCCCAGCCCTAAGCACCCGCTCTGAGGAGGCCTTGGAGGGAGGAAGGGTGCAGCCAGCTCAGCCTCGAACCCTGCCTGCATGGTGCTGCCCTGCCCGCTCCCCTTCCAGGGCATGTACCTGCTCCAGGCTCACGCTGAAGTCCAGGGACTCCTCGCTACTGGTGAGCGGCGTCTGGGGGCGGTGGGGAGAGTCAGCACAGGCCTTCAAACCCAGCTCTTGGACCCCCCTCCTCTAGCACTCCCACCCTTGCCCAGCCCCCAACTCCAAATGCATCCATTTAGCCAATCATTCAACAAATAAGCAAATATTCACTGAGCACCCTGTGCCCTAGGCATCCGCCTCTTCCCACCCTGCCATCCCCATCACCAGCCCTTTTCTTCAATGCATCCATTTAGCCAATCATTCAACAAATAAGCAAATATTCACTGAGCACCCTGTGCCCCAGGCATCCGCCTCTTCCCACCCTGCCATCCCCATCACCAGCCCTTTTCTTTCTTCCAGACCCAAGCACTGCATCCCCACAGTGATGTCCCAAGATCCCCCTTCTGCTTACTCAGGGCCCAGTGTGCCCAGGCTCCCAGGTCAACTACCCCCGTGTGGAGGAAGGAGCAATGGAGCCAGAAGTGGGAACACGAGGAGGTGCAATAAGAAGCCCTGTGAGAGGCCGGGAGGCCTGGGAACACCCGCTCCCAGACTGGGGTCTCACACCTGATCCCAAGCCAGGTTCTGTGCCCAACCGCAGGACCATGGGCAGGTCTCTTGCCCCCTGTGGGCCTTGGTTCAGCCTGGTGGTGAGAAACAGAAACCCCGAAGCAGGCTCCTGGATTCAAAACACTGCTCCTCCATTTACTGGCAATGTGACCCTTGAACAAGTGATTTAACCTCTCCCTGACTCAGTTTCCTTACCTATAAAATCTATAAGACACTAAAAATACCAATTCATAAGCTTTTGGAAGGATTAAATGAGCAAATATATCAAATGTTTAAACCATTGCCTGGCATACAGTTGTATCTACATGTTAGCTATTATTATTCATCTGTGAAGCGTAGGGTGGGGCTGCTTGCTAGAAGCTTCTTTTCTCTCTGAGATGCTGCTAGTTCACAACCCTGCAAGAGTGAGTAAGACCTTGGCGGCACACAGGACTGGCTCAGGAAGACGGGGTTTATCACAGAAATGCTGGTGAACAAGATTTCCCTGCCCTGGGTATCGATCAAGCCACCTGAGACTCGTGGGCCAGTGCCCTGAGATGTCAGCCATGAAAGCCCCTCACGATGCTTCTTTTCCTGCCACCTGAGAACTGAAGTTTGTGGACAACTCTGGACAGGAGGCCCTAACCTCTATGTCTCCTCCCAAAGGCAGAGCACTTTACAGTTTGCAAAGCATGTCCACTTCCTTGATTTTGTCGGATCCTATGTGAGAAAGGATCGGATGTGAAATAGGCAGAGCAGGGATTGTCTTTCCTCAGTGACTTACAAGGAAACAGAAGTCTTGAGGTGAAGTGCCCTGTGTAATTCAGGCTTGATCCACCCACCATACCTGCCTGTTCCTCTTCCTTCCCCCTTCCTCTGACCAGCAATTCTCTCCTGCTTTGCCATCTACACTCAGGTCTCTGAAAAGGACCTGCCTGGGGAGCTGGGGCCCTGGCAGGTCCCCAGGCACCGGTATCTTGCCACTGTGTACCCAAGCAGAGGCCTCAGGTCTGATGTGTGTAGGCGTCTGGCCCAGGGCTGGGCGGAAGTCACTAGGTGTCCCAAGGGTATCCCTGCCCGGGTCATGGGGCCCAGCCTGGTGCCAGACACAGAGCCCTGGAGACTTAAGGACAGGAAATGAGGAGGAGGAGCCGGGGAAGGGAGGAAGGGCAGGAATGCTACCCAGCCAGCCCCCAGTGTCGGAACAAACAGTGCCTGAGTGCTAATAACTTGTTGTTGTTCATGTCAAAATATCCAGGTGGCCCCACTCCCTGCCCCAACTCCCTTTGGTGCCCACAACCAAGGCTCCAACCCCAGCGCCCTTCCTGGTATTATCCTGACCCAGGAGGGCACATGAGGAGGGGAGGTGCCAGGTCACGTGGTCAGGCTGGTCATTTCCTGTCCTACCCCAGGGGATGAGCATGAGGGTCAGAGAACGGGGCCCTGGCCCATCAGAGCAGAGGAAAGGACCTTAAGGCATCCATCTCATTTTGCCAAGGAAAGCAGAAGCCCAGAGAGATGGAGTAAATTACCCAGAGTAACAACTACTTAGAAATGTAAAATTCTACTGAGTAACTCCACTACCAATGCTGACCTTGGAAGTAGGTATTTGTATCCTATTTCACAGCTAGAGGAAAGGAGGCTCAGAGGTTACATTACCTGCCCTAACAGTTGGTAAATAGGGGCACCGGGATTCACACCCGTGTCTGTCTGATTCAAAAGTCCATGATCTTAGCACTGTGCCTACTATCTTCCATGGTGCCTCCCCTGTGTTTTCCCCACTCTGTGCCTTGGACTCGGTGATAGTAGAGGTACTCTGCCCTCAGGAATGTTCCATGGGCAAGTAAGTTTGTGCCTACTATCTTCCATGGTGCCTCCCCTGTGTTTTCCCCACTCTGTGCCTTGGACTCGGCGATAGTAGAGGTACTCTGCCCTCAGGAATGTTCCATGGGCAAGTAAGTTTAGATAGAAACGATTGGGTTAAATAAAGTTAGATATATTTGTTATCATAGCCCCTCTGCTCCCCTAGAATGTTCGTGCACATAGGAACCTGGGATAGGGCAGGAGGAGGGCTATTATTCAGGGGCAGTTTCAAGTGTGTGGACTTCAGAGCCAGGTACTTGGGTTCAAATCCTAGTTCTCACATTACCGCCTGGTTATGTGACCTTGGGCTGATTATTCAAGCTCTCAGTGCTTCAGTTTCCTCACCTATAAAATGGGGTTGATGAAGATAATAGTACCTATCCCATAGGGTTATTCTGAGGCTCAAATGAGGTAATATAAAGCACTTGGAGTGGTGCCTGGCTCAGAGTAACTGCTTAGTAAATGCTAAGTGACTCGATCAAACTTCATTATTTCATGATGGGCACCTATTACCCAGACACAGGGCAAAGAAATGTTGTACCATGGCTGACCCTGTCCTGTATCTGATTGCCATGAGAGTCAGCTTGGGGGTTCTCAGTTGGAAAGAAGAGGCTGGAATGGGCCACGGTGAAGGGCATCACCCACCTCCTCCTCTCATTCCTGGACAGGAAGGATTTGGGGTAGAAGAGGAGGTGTTAGCTCCCCAGCACCAGTGCTATGGCCTGCCCTGCCCCCTATCCCTGTTGCAGTGTCAGAGCCGGGCTGGAGGGCCAGGCACAGAGCCAGACAGCATGAGGACCCGTCAGACCAGTTCCCTCAGGCCATGGCTAAGGTCACAGGCCAGGGCTGTGTGTGGTGGGACAGGGAAGGGTGCGTGGGGTGGGGTGGTGCCTTGGGGAGTCAGTGTTACTATCTGTAGTAAGAGAGAAGTAAAGCATGGTGGTTACAAGCTTGGACTTTGCAGCCAGATTGGCTGCGACCAAAGCCCAGCTTCACCACTTAGCAACTGTGTAACCCTGGACCTACGACTCTCTGTGCCTCCGTTTTTACATTTATAAAATGGGAATGATGAATTAGTAACTATCTCACAGGACTGTTGTGAGGATTATGTGATAATGATAAAGGTAAAGCTCTTACAACATGTATGGGACGTAAATACTATGTAACTATTAGCTATTACCATTAGACAGGTTAGATGAAAGCACATTTTTTGAGTTAGAGAAAAGGGCCACCTCCCCCAAAACAGTCACTCAAGTAAAGCATCCTGGCCTTCCCTGAGCTAGCGGGACCCACCAGAGGTGACCCCAATCTTGCCCCTGCTGCAGACACCAGACAAGATCTCATCTCCCCTTTGCAGCCAGATTGGCTGCGACCAAAGCCCAGCTTCACCACTTAGCAACTGTGTAACCCTAGACCTACGACTCTCTGTGCCTCCGTTTTTACATTTATAAAATGGGAATGATGAATTAGTAACTATCTCACAGGACTGTTGTGAGAATTATGTGATATGATAAAGGTAACGCTCTTACAACATGTATGGGACGTAAATACTATGTAACTATTAGCTATTACCATTAGACAGGTTAGATGAAAGCACATTTTTTGAGTTAGAGAAAAGGGCCACCTCCCCAAAACAGTCACTCAAGTAAAGCATCCTGGCCTTCCCTGAGCTAGCGGGACCCACCAGAGGTGACCCCAATCTTGCCCCTGCCGCAGACACCAGACAAGATCTCATCTCCTCCTCATATTTCCTAAAGAAGATGTTCTTCCATCCCATTCAAGTGTCACCTTTGCCACAGTTGGTAAGTCCTTTCTGTATCTAACCTCAAGTCTTCTTGCTGTAATCTGTTTTCATTTCCTCTTGTCTGGTCTAGGTATGAACAGAAACAGCTCTCTTCAGACCTTTTCTCTGGGAGGTTGATGGGTTTTCTCCTTGGCTTTCTAAGAGGTAGGTATGGCCTGAATAACTCCTAGGACTGTCCTCCTGGGACTCTGGGCTCCATCTCCTTCATCCTGCGTGTGCATACTACCTGCTGGCACTTGTCCCCTCATGGAAGCCCTTCATGGGCCAGTGGCATCACTAAGAGGTACAAGGTACAGCTTAAACACAGGAACAATGGAATGAAGCCACCCCACCCCGTCCCCCAGAGATGGTCATCAGGAGAGGGTGTGGCCAGCTGCCTCTAGCTCTAAAAATCTAAGCTCCCTCCAGTCACCCATCCCCACCTGGCAGAGGAGGGACCTTGTTTCTGTGCCTTTGACCCCATTTATCCTTCAGAGACCCACACCCCCACCCTTCCAGCCTCCCTGTGCACACCACACCTTCAACTCTGGGGGCTTGAGGGAATCAGAAGACAGCCTGGAGGCCTCCCCCACCCTCTCCCAGACTCTGGGTCCCAGGGGATCCTCCAGTGGCCTCATTGTCCTGGCACCTGACCTTCCCCCCCACCTCCTACCTTGCTTCTACAAGCTGGGAAGGGGACAGGAAATGCACAAGTAATTATAGCCTGAGAGGGAAGGAGGGAGGGAGGGTTCCAGCCCACTGGCTCCAAGCAGTAGCTACTGCCACTGGACCGGAGAGAAGAAGGGGTAGGAGGTATGGGGACAAGACCAAGGCCCAATAGGCCCCTTATCAGGAAGACCAAGGTAGAGAGGAGCTGGGGGAAAGCTGGGGAGTGACACCTGATTCTGCTCTCAATTCCAGTTGCGTAGACCCTCATCCTGGCAGGCCTCAGTTTTCTCCACCGAGCCTCATATTTCGGTAAACATAAATGGCAGTTGGGCAAAGTAGGAAAAAGGAGGGAGAATGTGGTGGTTGCTCTACTCAGAGGGACTTGCCCATAAGAAATGAGCTCTTCCAAGTTTGTCACCTGCTCCTGCTTCCCCTGCACCCCTTTACCCAAGTACCCTCCCGCACTCCCCCACACACAGGTGGGCACACACAACAGACAAATAACTGAACCTCCCAGGAAGTTACTCTGTTATGTTCAGGTGGCTGGGGAGAGCTGCTCTGCTGATTGAGACCCTACAGCCATTATCCTGCCCCCTCCCCTCCCCAAGCCCACCATACTTTCCCCCTCCTGCTCTCTCCTTCATTCTTTCAGCTCCAGAGCTGTTTTTCACTGGCAAAGGGAGCTTCGGTCATCTCAGATTCTCCAAATTTCTCAGAATCTTCCCCTGAGCCCCCCCAAAGCCAGATGCCAAGCAGTGTCCACATGACCACCTCACCCCAAGATCAAAAAGCAGAATCAACACAGTTCAGTTGCTCATTAGAGAATGTTGCCATGGTGACGTAACCAAGCTTACCTCACCCCCCACTTGACCTGGCCCCCATAACTTCCCACTCCCACCTGGAAAGAACACATAAGCACCTAACTCAACACCTCGCACACAGAGGTGCGGGATAAATGACAAATCCCTTCCCTCTTCCCCATGCCCAAATGGAGATACTTGGGCACCACACGCACAGACACACACGTTGCTGCTGTGGGAGCAACCCATGCACACAGCAGCAAAGCCTCCCAACCCACTGTCCACCCCAGCTGTACCACTCAACACCCCCAGATCAAGCTGGGCACCAGCAGCATGCCCGCACTACAGTCCAGGCACTCCTCTGGCCCTGGTGCCTGGTCCTGGCCTGGGCAGGTGAAGGGTACTCACCCAGCGAAGCCCCTGGATGCGGCTGGGGCGCCGGTGCTCGAGAAGCAGCTGGTAAGAGCAGCTTCGGGACCGGTGCATCCTCCTCAGCACCATGTTGAGTAGCGTCCCCTCTGGCACCACGTCAGGGAGGCCTCCCACGTGCGGTGCTCCCAGAGCTGGACCGTCCTCCACAGCCGGGCCCACCTGCCAGCGACTCTCACCTGGCCAGCCCACCTGTGACACAGGAAGGAAGGTGGACAGCCATGGGGCAGGGGCTGGGGCAGCTGGACCACAGAAAAACTGCCCCAGGCAGAACCACTTCCTTAAAGTCCTCTGGACTGGTCAGGCGGAGGTGCTGCAGCCCTGCCAGTAGCAGGGGGAGGGACAGGAAGACCTCACTGGGGCCTGCCTGTCTGGCGCACTTAGGGGTCTCCAGCTAGCTCCGAGAGAAGGTCCGGCCCTTCTCAGTCCTCTTTGGAATTCTGCCCCACCCCACTGCCCATGCTCCTGCAGGGATCTCCTACCACCTCCCAGTGGGAGGGTATGGACTCACCGGATGCCCCCGAAATGCCGCTTTGCCTCAAGCCCTTCTTCTCCCCGCCTCCCTGACCCCCGACCAACCCTCTCCCCCCACCCGAACACCCCGCGGTGTCGGCTGCCTCTCCCGCCCTCCCCTGCTCCTCTACTCCGAACCCGCCTTGCCCACCTTCATGTTCCTTCTCACGCTCACACAACCGTGCAGGCTATAGCAATACTGCTGGGGAGATCCCCAGCGAACCCCGTCAGCTCCGATAGGGGGGTCCTGGGGGGGTGCCGGGGCCGATTCCTAGCCGGGCCGGCTGCCCAGGCAGCAAGACGCGGGGCTGGGTGGAGAGGCTCCTCCTGGGTGAGCAGAGGGCTGGGGGCGTGGGGGGGAGCCCCCCCACCCAGCGACAAGGAGCCCCGAGCCTCCGCCTTCGTCCCGGGCGAAGGAGCCAGCTGGCACCGAGGGCTGAAGCAAGGCTGCCGCTGGCACTGGTCCGGGCGGGAGCTGTCACACCCCCTGCGCTGCCCGCCCCCTTCCCCTCCCCGGGACCGGCCGAGGGGGCGGGGAGGAGGCGCCCTGCCGTACGGTAGGGGAGGGCGAAGGGGAAGGAGGCGGGCACGGGCAGGGGGTGGAGCCCGCACCCGGGGGCCCTACAGCGGGCACGAGCCGGAGCCCGCGAAACCCCAGGGGGCAGGAGCGGTCCTGGGGTGTGCACAAGGGCCGCAGCGGCCGGGGCGTCGGAGCAGGGGCGGCGAGTGGCTGCACCGGCCGCCACGTGGCCGGGAGGAGAAATGCAAACACGGAAACCGGGGGGAGGGGGAGGGGGTGAGTCATTGCGGCCCCACCCGGGAGGGAAATCCGGGCTGGGGCCGCTTCCCGGCCGGGGGCGTCCTGCCTCCTGTCTCGATTCAGGGTCTCCGGCAGCCCGGGAGAAGTACTGGGCAGCTTCCCGGTGGGGAATCCCGCTGTCGAGACTCCCACTGTGGCGTTCCTGAACGCACGCTGCCCTCCCCACCGCCCCAGCTCACGCACCGGGCGCGGGTGGGGAAACTGAGGCTGGCGAGGGAGGATCGCGCTCCGGGGTAGACGCGGGCCGGAGTTGCGCCCCTGGGAGGAGGTTGGGATTGTGGCCGAGCTTCGAGGAGAGGAGGGAGGTTTGAGAGGGTCACGCCCCCCACCGCGCGCTCGCTGGCGGCCGGGCTGGTCGGGGCGGAGACCTGGGATTCTAGCGTCCTGCTCTTCAGGTTCAGTACCGAGGCCCCACGCCTCCCTGCGCCTCAGTTTCCACCACCGCGCAGACGGCCCAGTGCCGCCCGCTTCGCGGCATTCGAGAGGGCAGAGAAACAGAGGCCCCCGACACGACTCCCTTGGCGCCCCGTGATTGCTCAGAAAGATAATGAGGGTTTGGAAGGAGACGCATGTCCCGCCCCAGCTTTCTAGGACTCGCTTGTTTGCCCTTCCCTTTCCCCTTTCCCTTTGCTGTTGAACCTGCCCGGACTGGGGAAGAAACACCTCTCACAAGCCCATCGCCCTGCTTCGGGACGCTGAGCCCCCACCCATACTCCACCCATGATTATTTTATTAAAGGGGGGAGGGGGATTTTAATTAATTAAAATCCCAATTTTAATTTGTGTATGTGTATTAATTCTTTTCCAGGACCTTATTAAAATGCAGGTTTTGTCCCCCCCAAATTCAAATTCACTCCTATTGGCATGAAATAGAAAAATCTGGTTTGGTTTTGTTTGTTTGTTTTGCAACTGGCCCGTATGACTATCCGAACCCTTGACCTTGTTGTAACACCAAGCTCTAACCAAAGAAAATCTGTATTTTGAACAGACACCCCAGGTCATCTGCTGTGTGTGCACTTTGAGAAACTCTGGTAGAGTGTTAAATTCCCCTCCAGGGAAGAAGGGGAGTCTGAGAATGAACTGGTTTCAGACCCAAGCCCACCCACCCAAGTTCTGGGAATTTGGAAGAAGGAAGAACAGCTTGCACACTGGCAGGAAAGGATGATAGGGGTGGGAGGGTGGGGGGCTGTCACAGGGATGCATGGGGAAAAGAGTTGCGGGTGCGGTGGGGGGGATAGATTAATGAAGTTTCAAGTTGCTGGGGCCCGTGACCTGACCTAGAAGTTCTTGCAGGAGAATTTCCTGAGACAGGTAGTAGGGTCAGAAAAGGGTCCCCTACTACCTATTTCTGCTGCCCCTTCTTTGGGCATGTAGAAAGATGCTGGGTACTGAGGCAGGACACCTGCGTACCTGTAGACCTTTCAGCAGAGCCACAAAAGCTAATCATGTGCCTGGCACTGTTCCAAGTGTTTTCCACGTATTACAATCCCTGCCTAATCCTACTACTGTTATCCCCACTTTACAGGTGGGGAAACTGAGGCTTAACAGTATTAGGTAAATTGCCATGGTCGCAGCTAGTAAACGGTGGAGCTGGGGCTTGAACCCAGGTGGTCTGGCACCACTCAACCCTTATGCTATACTGCATGTACTCTGTGCATTCTATACATTCTTCTGATCTAGACTATACTGCCTAAAAGAGGATACTGAGGAAAGGAAAATGAAGTGTGTGTGTGGCAGGGATGGGGGACCCTCAGGGAGCAAGGATCCAAAGAAAGTCATTCAAATCTGTGAAAATGAAAGTGTCCCAAACCCACTTTCCCCCCATCTGTGTCATCTCCAAAACTACTCTTTTCTTTTCTCAAGTCTCTTTCTCAGTCCCCCTCTACTGGGAGACTGAAAAGATGGCCAGGGGTGATTACCTATTCACTGGTAGCCTGGGGACACCATAGGGATTGGACTTGGCTCATTTCTATTGCTAGCAGGCATGGCCCCCAGCCTCCCCCGCCCCCAGGGCAGATGATGGAGCAGGTTCTTCCCTTCTCAGGATTCCTGGATGGGGACTGGCCAGTGGAATTACCACTCAGTAGGTATTTGATGGAGGCTGAGGCCTGGAGGGGGCAGGGGACTATGGAGTGTGTCTGAGGAAGACATCCAAGCCAGATGATGAGTCGTCTTGGGCACAATCATCCCATGTCCTGGTGTAACCTCCACCCTCCTCTGACTGTCATTAGATGCCTGACAGGTGTGTTAGGACAGAAAAATGATAATAACAATAGTTAACATGTGCCAGGCCTCATTCTTGATACTTTATATACACTCACCCATTTAATTGTCTCAACAACCCTATAAATTCACATTTTACAGATTAGGAAGCTGAGATTCAAAGAGGTTAAATGACTTGCCCAAGGTCCCACAACTAGGAAGTGGTAGAGCAGTGAGTGATTCCACCTAAGTGGCTCCCAGTCTGCGTGCTTTACCACTCTGCAACCTTACCTCTCAAACATTCTGACAGCTGCTACAAAGGGGGTAAGTCCCCATCCAGGGTCATTTCACTACATTTGCATGGACTGGCTCCTGGGGGTAGGAGGAGGAACAGGTGGATGATAGAAGCTGAACAGCAGGCCCCCTTGACACAGTCCACCCATACAGTGAGCTCCTGCCAGGGCGTGAACCCTCTTGAGACCCGCCCCCATTCCCTTCAGGCAGGTGGCATTGGCTCCCATAGGATAGTCAAGGAGGGTGAGATGGGTGAGGAGGGCTTCTCAGACCGGCTTTGACTCTGGGCTGTGTCTCTCCCACTCAGCGTCTTTGCTGAGCCCTACACATGGTGAGCCCATAGCTTCCTGGATCTCCACAGGAACCTCACTCTGGTGTGTCCAAAACTCCCTTCCTACCCCAGGGGGCCCCTCCTCCTGCTGAGCCCTACCACTACATTAGCAAGAAATCTAATACCCTAGGTCCCTCCTTCTCCCACATCCAATCAGGCACCACGTCTGGTTAATTTAGCCAGTGAAACATTTGCATCCACCCCTCATGCCCCATCACTGCAACTGCTCTAGCCTGATGACGGTCTCTTCCAGCACTTTCTATGTGCAGCATACTACATTAGTCACTTGATAGATATCTTTTATCCTCAGAACAATCCCTATCTACAAGTGAGGAAACCGAAACACCGGGAGGTTAAAGTGACTTGCCTAAGGTCACACAGCTAGCAAGTAGTGGAGCCAGACTCACGCCGTCTAACTGTAGAGTCCACATGCTTAGCCTCTATTTTGTACCACTACCCCCACCCCTGGCCACTGACCTCTGCTCTCACCCTCGCCTCTCTCAGTCCTTCCTATGCAATGCTACAAGAATCTTTAGTTCATTCAGCAATATTTACTGTAGATGTTAAGAACTCTGCTGTTAACTAGTGGTCTAAAACTGAACAGCAAATACTGTCCCAAAGCTTCAGGACCACAGAGCCTCATGGAACTCTTTTATCTCCCTAACACACTAATCTGATTGCATCTGCCTATCCAGCACAGTGACCAGCATAAAGTAGGTGCTTGATAATTATGGGTGGAAATGAAATGAACAGAAACCATGGGAAGTCAGCTGGTTCCTGCCATGGGCCTATACCCAGGGCAGGGTGGAAGGGAGAGGAGCTAGTTTTCCAGTTCATTTTCAAGACTTTTCATAACATCTCCCTCCCTCCTTGCTGCTTCCTTGTCTCCTACTTTTTTCTCCTTCTGTCCTGTGCTTCAAAGTCTGCTCACAAGGCTCAGCTGTGTCATTTGAGGTTGGGTGGTGGAATGGAGGGTGGGAGGCTGGAGAAAGTTTTAACTAACAGGCCTCCACTGGGACTTCAGAAAAAGGCCAACCTGGAGACCAACTCTGAAATAAACCAACAGAGGATGTAAGGGCTGTGCCGGGGACCCTGGCCTGCTGCCGGCCCTCCCCCAGCATGCTAGGATTCTGCTTTGGCCATCAACAATGGGGAGAGATTGAGAAGGGAAACTAGGTGTCCTCATGTGGACTCTACCTTCTGGCTCTGAGTAGCTTAAGGCCCCTCTGACTCTTGCCCAGGCTCCTTCCTTCAAGGGAGGTTCCAGTTCAGTTCCCCCATCTCCTCCCCTGCCCATTCCTGGGGTGGGGGACAGAGGCAGGGAGCTGGAACATTGATGGGCACTACGCCAAACCTTCCTAGGACTAACAGGTCACAGCCAGTCACTCATGAGCCACTTATGACAGTGATCAGAGGCAGAGAAGAGGTGGGCTCCTGCCTTCTTTAGGTGGGGCAGGTGGGCAAGCTGGGGCTCACAGTCAGAGCTGGGGGTCAGCAGGGACCCCACACTTTCCCAAATGCACATCCTT